TCGTTATTACCTCTTCCTCCCTTCTCTATCTTTCCTTTTTCCCTCCCCCACTTTCTGGTTTGAAGTGTCCCTTCTCTCTTCGACTCCCTCTTGCACTCTGTTTACTCTTCGAATATCAATTTTGCTATTCTCGTGAAGCGTGCATGATCTGTGCATGATGGATGTAGGTTTAAGATCTACTGGATTCCATGATTTCACTTTGATGACTGGTTTTTAATCTGAGTCGGGAAGGATGGAGTTGAAATTTTAATAATCTTTCATCCTTCTTTTTTGTGTCATGTTCAGAAGTTGGAACCTGGGAGAAAAGTGAAATATAATATGCTGTGTGTATACGGATTCATTTTCTTTCTCTGTCTTTCATTCTCTCTCTCTCTCTTTGTTTTTCACTTTCTTTCTTTTTCTCTATCTCTCCTCCCTCCTCTCTTATTTTCCTGCCTCCCCCCTCTCCCTCCTCTCTCTCTCTCTCTCTCTCTCTCTCTCTCTCTCTCTCTCTCTCTCTCTCTCTCTCTCTCTCTCTCTCTCTCTCTCTCTCTCTCTCTCTCTCTCTCTCTCTCCCTGTCCCTCTCTCTCGCACAACCATGAAATGATTTAATTTTCCTAATTCACGATTGGAAGAATAAACTCATATCGATATTGCAATTAAACAGAATATGTTTTAGCCAGACATTAACATACAGTTAACTAAACTGATTAAATCTTTGAGTCTGATTGATTATGTGCACTTATACATGATTTTTATAATACTTTTACACGGGTAAAAGATGTTAGTACGATGAAGATATTTAAATGAGGATCTATCATACATTTTAAGATTTTTTTCTGTTATTTATGAATAATAATTATCATCATTATCATCATTTCCATAATCATCATTATTATCATTTCCATAATCATCATTATCATTTCCATAATCATCATTATTACTATCATTGATATCATTATCATCATGAGTATTATCAATATAATTATTAAGATTATTATGATTATTTTCATAATTATTGTTACCATTACTATTATGATTGTCATGATTATCATTATCATTACCATCGTTATTATCATTATTATTATCATCATCATTATTACTATCATCATTATTATCATCATCTTTATCATTACTATTGCTGTAAAAGCAATAATAATAATAATGATAATAACAATAACATTGATAATAACAATAATAGTAATAATAATTTCCATCATTATCATTATCATTATTTCCATCATCATCATTCTTACTGTTATCATTATCACTACTTTTATTATTATCATCATCATTATCATTATTCTTCTTCTACTCAACATCATCATTATTGCCATCATTCTTAGCATCTATATTTATCGTCATTGTTATTATCATCATTCTTATCATTATTGTTATTGCTATTATCATCATTATCATCACTGTACTCCTTATTAGTGTTACTTTTATAATCATAATCATTATCATTACTATTATTATTATCATTATCATCATCATCATCATTATTGATATTATCATTAGTACTATAATCATTATAATTACTATCAACATCATCACTATCAGCATTGTTATTATTGTTATTCTTATTATCAATATCATCATCTCATTTTTGGCATCATTGTTATTGTTGTTATTCTTATTTCTATTCTTATTGCTAGTGCTACTATTATTACAATTAATATCATTATAATAATGATGATTATCATAATCACAATATTAACATTATTGTTCTTATTCTTATTATCGTTTTCAACATCAACTGTTTTGGTAATGTGTACGTACAGTTCAAAAGCCTGCTCTAATGTCCTTTATTTACCCCGTGGGAAGAAATATATCTCCAATTTCCAGGTGTTTTATCATTTTCTTCATGCAAAATCTTCAAATATAAACCCTATTACCTTCAGACACTCCAGAGCCACACAATCTCTGCAACCTTGAGGGGAAGGCGTGACGCCAGATGATTCGTCCCAAAGCATGATCTTTTGTGTCGCTTTAATTTTACTTTACGTCGTAATCTATGCTATAATAATTTGTACAAGAGTAGTGATATATATATACATGTACATATATATACATATATATACATATATATATATATATATATATATATATATATATATATATATATATATATATATATATATATATATATATATATATATTATATATATATATATATATATATATATATATATATATATATATATATATATATATATATATATATATATATATATATATATATATATATATATATATATATATATATATATATATATATATATATGTCATATATATATATATATATATATATATATATATATATATATATATATATATATATATGTAGTATATTCATATACGTATACACATATGCATAATGTAAAGTGGACGTTTCCATAACCTGCCAAGTGAAATCTAACCAGTTTATAACTATTCACATTTGGTTTAGAAAATTCCTGTTTGATACTATAATTTTGTTTGTTATCAACTTAGAGGGATTTATGTGGAATACAGAAATGACCTGAATGGGATATGATCTGAAATAAAGTTTTAAATCATACAATTATTGTATAGTTCAACTAAGTCCAGATGTGGTCTGTGAGAGGGAGGTGGGAGAACTTTAGTTGGTTTTGTTAAAGTACAACATAAAAGTTTGAAGTTAATATCTTTAACAGATGAATTACCCTTATTCTTAGGTCAATTTGCATCTAAGTCCTCTGCTAAGGTACACGGTTTACTTTCATTAATGATATATTAAATAACCCTCAGGTAATATTAGAATCAGGTCTTCCACAAACTGAACCAATTAGTAGATTACTTGGTAAGTCTTGTTTCATTATATAGGTACTTATAAAAAAGGTAGTACCTTAGTAATGAATTTAATCAACCATTCATATATAGTGCCATTCCACCTGAGGGGTGCGAAATATAGTTGATATAACAGATAGAGGACAATTTTAGAACAGTATTTAATGTCGTCTGATAATTTTGTTGCACAGAAAGCCATAATATTTCAGCATATTTTGTAGAATATGGGTAGAGGTGTACTAAGAGTGCTATTAATGTTTATAAGTTTAAAGATTATTACCAAAATTGATAATTTATTAAGGAGAATCATCAGTGAAATGAAAATAATTTTTGGAATCATATTAGCTCGAAGCTGTCACAAGTTACTTAGTCACGAGCAAAGAAATCATTGTAAGAGATGCTTCAAACATTTTGATGTTAGGAACTTTTCTGATCAAATAACAATGACAATAATAATAATCTAAAGGACATTCATGGTACCAGGAAAAGAGAATACGAAGTCTATCACCAGGAACGCTTAGAACACGCTGACCACTCTGCTGCACAATGAAATACCTGTAATATCTACTTCCATTACAAAATGTCTGAAATATTTACTTCCATGAGCGCTGCTTTCATGGTCAGCCTTCATTAGCTTCTTTGGTTGCAGCTGTGGTTTATGGTTCTTGGGGCACGCTCCCGGAGACCTGGGAGACGCTTTGGAAACTGGTTTGGGAAGTTGGGTTAGGGAGTTGGGTTGGGGAGTTGGGTTGGGAAGTTGGGTTGGGGAGCTGGGTTGAGAAGTTAGGTTGGGGAGTTGGGTTGGGGAGCTGGGTTAGGGAGTTGGGTTGGGAAGTTGGGTTAGGGAGTTGGGTTGGGGAGTTGGGTTGGGAAGTTGGGTTGGGGAGTTGGGTTGAGAGTTGAGTTGGGAGTTGGGTTGGGAGGGTTAGGGAGTTGGGAAGTTTTGGGAGTTGGGTTGGAGGGTTTGGGAGTTTGGTTGGGGAGTTGGTTGGGGAAGTTGGGTTGGGAAGTTGGGTTTGGGAGTTGGGTTTGGGAGTTGGGTTTGAGTTGGGAGTTGGTTGGGGTTGGGTTGGGGAGTTGGGGTTGGGAGTTGGGTTTGGGAGTTGGGTTGGGAGTTGGGTTTGGAATTGGGTTAGGGAGTTGGGTTGGGGAGTTGGGTTTGGGAGTTGGGTTTGGGAGTTGGGTTGGGGAGTTGGGTTGGGAGTTGGTTGGGAGTTGGGTTGGAAGTTGGGTTTGGGAGTTGGATTGGGAATGGGGAGCTGGGTTTGGAGTTGGGTTGGGAGTTGGTTGGGTTGGGGAAGTTGGGTTTGGGAGTTGGTTGGATTGGGAAGTTGGGGGAGTTGTGTTGGGAAGTTGGTTTGGGAGTTGGGTGGGGAGTTGGTTTTGGGAGTTGGGTTGGGGAGTTGTGTTTGGGAATTGGGAAGTTGGGTTTGGGAGTTTTGGGAGTTGGGTTTGGGAGTTGGGTTGGAAGTTGGGTTTGGGAGTTGGTTGGGAGTTGGGTTGGGAGTTGGGTTGGAAGTTGGGTTTGGGAGTTTGGGAAGTTGGGTTGGGAGTTGGATTGGGGAGTTGGGTTGGGGAGTTGGGTTTGGAAGTTGGGTTTGGGAGTTGGATTGGGGAGTTGGGGGTTGGAGTTGGGTTGGGAGTTTTGTTGGGAAGTTGGGTTGGGAGTTGGGTTTGGGAGTTGGATTGGGAGTTGGGTTGGGGAGTTGGTTGGGAAGTTTTGTTTGGGAGTTGGTTGGGGAAGTTGGTTTGGGAGTTGGATTGGGGAGTTGGGTTGGGGAGTTGGGTTGGGAAGTTTTGTTTGGGAGTTGGGTTGGGAAGTTGGGTTTGGGAGTTGGATTGGGGAGTTGGGTTGGGGAGTTGGGTTGGGAAGTTTTGTTTGAGAGTTGGGTTGGGAAGTTGGGTTGGGAAGTTGGGTTTGGGAGTTGGGTTTGGTTGGGAAGTTGGGAGTTTGGTTGGGAAGTTGGTTGGGAGTTGGGTTGGAAGTTTTGTTTGGGAGTTGGGTTGGGGAAGTTGGGTTGGGAGTTGGGGGGAGTTGGATTGGGGAGTTGGGTTGGGAGTTGATTGGAAGTTGGGTTGGGGAGTTGGATTGGAAGTTGGGTTTGGGAGTTGGGTTTGGGAGTTGGGTTTGGGAGTGGGTTTGGGTTGGGTTTGGGAGTTGGGTTGGGGAGTTTGGGAAGTTGGGTTTGGGAGTTGGGTTTTGGGTTGGGGAGTTGGGTTTGGGAGTTGGGTTGGAGTTGGTTGGGGAGTGGGGGAGTTGGTTGGAGTTGGGTTGGGTTGGGTTGGAAGTTGGGTTGGGAGTTGGGTTTGGGAGTTGGGAGTTGGGGTTGGAGTTGGGTTTGGTTGGGTTTGGGAGTTGGGGATTGGTTGGAAGTTGGGTTGGGGAGTTGGGTTGGGATTTGGAGTTGGGTTTGGGAGTTGGGTTGGGAGTTTGGTTGGGAGTTGGTTGGGAGCTGGGTTTGGGAGTTGGGTTTGGAAGTTGGTTGGGAGTTGGGTTTGGGAGTTGGATTGGGAAGTTGGGTTTGGGAGTTGGGTTTGGGAGTTGGGTTTGGGAGTTGGGTTGGGAAGTTGGGTTTGGGAGTTGGGGGGTTTTTTGGGAGTTGGGTGGGAGTTGGGTTGGGAGTTGGGTTTGGGAGTGGGTTGGGGAGTGGTTGGGGAGTTGGGTTTGGAGTTGGGAGTTGGGTGGGAGTTGGATTGGGAAGTTGGGTTTGGGAGTTGGGTTTCGGTGTGGGTTGGGGAGTTGGTTGGGAAGTTGGTTGGGAGTTGATTGGAAGTTGGGTTTTGGAGTTGGGTTGGGAGTTGGGTTTGGGAGTTGAGTTGGGAAGTTGGGTTGGGAGTTGGATTGGGAAGTTGGGTTGGGAGTTGGGTTGGGAGTTGGTTTGGGAGTTTTTTGGGTTGGAGTTGGGGGAGTTGGGTTTTGGAGTTGGATTTGGAGTTGGGTTTGGGAGTTGGATTGGGAAGTTGGTTTGGGAGTTGGGTTTGGGAGCTGGGTTTGGGAGTTGGGTGGGAAGTTGGGTTTGGAGTTGGGTGGGGGAGTTGGGTTTGGGAGCTGGGTTGGGGAGTTGGGTTAGGGAGTTGGATTGGGAAGTTGGGTTTGGGAGTTGGGTTTCGGTGTTGGGTTGGGGAGTTGGGTTGGGAAGTTGGGTTTGGGAGTTGGTTTGGGAGTTGGGGGGAGTTGGATTGGGATGTTGGGTTTGGGAGTTGGATTGGGGAGTTGGTTTGGGAGCTGGAGTTGGGAGTTGGTTTGGGAGTTGGATTGGAAGTTGGGTTAGGAGTTGGGTTTGGGAGTTGGGCTTGGGAGTTGGGTTGGGAAAGCTGGGTTTGGAGTTGGTTGGGAAGTTGGTTTGGGAGTTGGATTGGGAGTTGGTTTGGAGCTGGGTTGGGGAGTTAGGTTAGGGAGTTGATTGGGAAGTTGGTTTGGGAGTTGGGTTTGGAGTTGGTTTGGAGTTGGGTTGGGAGTTGGAGTTGGGTTGGAAGTTGGGTTTGGGAGTTGGATTGGGAAGTTGGGTTTGGGAGCTGGGTTGGGGAGTTGGATTGCGAAGTTAGGTTAGGGAGTTGATTGGGAGTTGGGGTTTGGGAGTTGGGTTTGGGAGTTGGGTTTGGGATTGGGTTGGGAGTTGGGTTGGGAGTTGGGTTGGGAGTTGGAGTTGGGAAGTTGGGTTTGGGAGATTGGAAAGGGTTTGGGAGCTGGTTGGGAGTTGGATTGGGAGTTGGGTTGGGAGTTGGGTTTGGGAGTTGGGTTGGGGAGTTGGATTGGGAAGTTTGGGTTTGGAGTTGGAGGTTAGTTGGGTTGGGAGTTGGGTTTGGGAATTGGGGAGTTGGTTGGGAGTTGGGGAGAATTGGAAGTTAGGGAGTTAGGTTGGGAAGTTGGGTTTGGGAGTTGGATTGGGAGTTGGGTTGGGAGCTGGGTTGGGTTTATGATTGGGAAGTTGGGTTTGGGAGTTGGGATGGGAGTTGGGTTTGGGAGTTGGGTTTGGGAGTTTCGTGGTTGGGAAAGTTGGGGAGTTGGGTTGGAAGTTGGGTTGGGGAGTTGCAGTTGGTTGGGAAGTTGGTTGGAGTTGGGGTTTGGGAGTTGGGTTTGGAGTTGGGTTTGGGAGTTTGGGTTGGGAGTTGGGTTTGGGAGTTGGGTTGGGAGTTGGGTTGGGAAGGGTTGGGGAGTTGGGTTGGAATTGGGAGTTGGGTTGGGAAGTTGGGTTTGGGAGTTGGATTGGGGAGTTGGGTTTGGGAGCTGGGTTGGGAGTTGGATTGGGTTGGGGGGGAGTTGGTTTGGGGTGGTTTGGGAGTTGGGTTTGGGAGTGGTTGGGGAGTGGGTTGGGAGTGGGTTTGGGAGTTGGTTGGGAGTTGGGTTGGTTGGGTTGAGTTGGTTGGGTGTTGGGGAGTGGGTTGGGAGTGGGTTGGGGTGGGTTGGGGAGTTGGGTTTCTCTCTTGCAGCAAAGGAAACTCTTTCGTGTAGCAGCAAGGAGGATGGTTAGTGGTGACTAGTGTACAAGGTGGTGTGTTGGGAAGGTGAAGGAAAGACATTATCTGGGAGACCGATGGCAGCCTCTCTTGGGCGCATCTTCAGAACGGCCAGTTTACAATGGCAGAAAAAACACGCACTTGCCTTCATGTGTTGCTGCAAGGAATACATTCACCTGCTGTTTCCTGAACATGACTGCGACGGGGCAGAGGTCCTCATTGAAGACCGCGTGGGATCCCTGAAGTTTCATCGATTGCACAGAGGAGCATCTATTTCACTAAAGAAAAGAAAGAAAGAAAAAAATAAAGATCTACAACGTTCCTTAGTTCCGCTGAAGTCGAGGACACATTCCTTATACGATGGATACAGTTTATGGTCGACTCCTTGCTCTGTTTCTCCCTCGTTATTTTTTCCACTTTGAACAGGCATTGTTCAACATTTTTCATTTTGAATATAAGCTAAAGTAACAATCGAGAGACTGTTTTCTGGCCTCAGCAAGAAAATCCAAACGGTCTTCAGGGTCATCTTCCAATTTCTGTTAAGCATTTACTCTCCATTCTTTTCAGCTTCATTTCACGTACTTCTGCATGTCCTACCGCCAGTTGAAGAAATTCCACTTTCACTAATTCACATATTTGTGCGCTGACGGGTAACGGAAATTCACGTGGCGTATTTATCTATTCAGCCAATGGAATTACTACCGAATTTCTTAAGCATTACTTGGAACACCTCGAGACCCATTCCGATGTGTGAGGAGTGCACTGGGAAAGCAATTCAACATTTCCACTTCTGTAAAATACATTCGGTAATAGCGTCACAGCTGAACACATCGATGATACGTTATATTCACTGAATTTTGCAAGATTAATTCCAGCAGGCATCAAAAGGATAAGACATTAGCGTGGAGAGTTGGGAAGCAGACATGCATATTATTATTACTATTGTAATTTCGCTATTATTGTTATCACCATTGTTATTAGCAGGGTAGTAATTTCTGTATTTGATAGTGTCATGATAATGAAAATAATAATGGTAATAAAATTATAACAAAAGCAATTGGATTTATAAGAGTAATGGTAACGATAACGATAATGATAATGTTATTATTAATAATATTATTATTAGTAGTAGTAGTAGCAGCAGCAGTAGCAGCTGTAATAATAGTGGTAAATAATAATAGTAGATTTAATGTTATTAATATGACTATGATTTTGATCATAATCATCATCATTTTATTATTATTATTTTCTCCATGTTATTCTTATTACTGATTGTCATTATTGTAAGCAACAATAGTAGTATATTTAATGTTATTAATATGATTATAATTTTGATGGTAATCAACATTTTATTATAATTATTTTCTCCATGTTATTATTATTGATTGCCATTATTGTAAGTAGTAGTAATAGGTAAATTGCAGCAATATCACCATTCTTTTGCTGTCATTTTAATGCTACCGGTAGAATAATCACTATTTTTGTTCCTTTTTTCTTTTTCTTTTTGCATTTCACGGGAACAAATAACACCGTGTCAGGTTATAGTAATATTGACTTATTCCAGATGTTATGTGCGTGATAATGGTTATTTCGTCGATGAATATGACATACTGAATGGAAATTGGCACTTTGATGGCAAGGAACGGAAAAATCATGTGAATTGAGAAAATTTATTGCATTTACGGTTTGAAACACCAAGCCATTTGACCATGTCTTTTACTTGCTGTATACACGTCATGAATAACGTTAACAGACGCTATAAAATCCCCATAATCATCCATCAGTTTCGTACTCGGAGACACATAGACACACACACAGACACACACACATAGACACACACACACACACACGACACACACACACACACACACACACACACACACACACACACACACACACACACACACACACACACACACACACACACACACACACACACACACAGAAATGATTTCAATAACTCAAAGCATATAAAGACAAACAGAAACACATACAAAGACACATCAATCCCCCCCTCCCCCACCCCCAGCCTCCAACAAACACACTACACAGATAAAATGATAAGACGAATCTCCAGAGACAGCCGAAAGGGAGAGATGTCAACAAGGATCATTTTCCTACTCAAGTCCAAAAGGAAATGACCCGAACGGCATCGACACAAAGCTCATAGAAATCTGCTGACTCAATTACGAACAGATCGACTATAATAAAAGGTATATGTGGGACTCTGATGATAGATGCGTCTACACGTCCTCTATGGGTATTGATAGAAAGTTATGGGAGGAATCAATGGACGCAAGTATGGGAGAGGCGAGAGGAATGGGAGGAGAAGGGGAGGAAGGGAGAGAAGGAGGGACGGAAAGAACGACCGCCAGAGGCTTGGCTTGTGCGGATTTCGGCGTGGGGGTGAGGAGGGGGGTGGGGGTCGGGGGTTTCTCTCTTTCTCTTTCTCTCTCTTCTTTTCTTTGAGATCTCTCTATCTGTGGGTCGGACTCTGTGTATGCAAGAACACATTTAAAACACACACACACACCACTTACACAACACACACACACACACACACACACACACACGCACACGCACACAAACACACATACCCCCCCCCCCCGCCACACATCAAGTTATATCCACCCTACATACAAATATCCAAGCACGCACGCACACACACACATACTTCCCAAAGCCCTGTGGATTAGTGGGCTGTTGTGATTGGTTTTGTCTCCTAGTTCCCAATTAGGATTACGGGATAAG